AAAGGTGAGTTTTTAGTCTTGAATGCCTTGAATACTGCCAGAAGAACCCAGACATGGCTGTCCTTGATGCACTCACCAGTACACCTCCTCTAGCACATCAGTGTCTGCCCACGTAACACTAAAGACCCAGCTGAATAACTCTTTCTGTCTGCAAAAAGCTTCATGAATGCATACATTTCTCAGTATCATTCCTTAAGGACTTAACTGCCAGTAATCGTTGCAAAGAGACTCAAATTGCTTACATGGTGCTTGGTTGAAGTACACGCAGACACAGAGGACACTGGAAATAATAATAATGAAAAAAGTAGACAAATTTTGACTGGGAGGAAATCACTGACAAGGTCATTTTAGGCATAAAAAAATGGAAATGGCTCAAGGCAGTCAAGGCACAAAAATACAGTCACGGATCGTCCCCAAGGACTCTGTGGTGATTTAAAACATCCTTATAGGAAACAATACAGAGCCGGATACCATTTCCAGCAACAGGTTTAAATTTGAATTGCATGTGGTTAGAAGTCCAGTCCCAGGTCATTAATTGGAAAGGAATAGTAAAATGTAAAAGTGCTTCAGATATGTTACAGCTCGAGTACAGAGTGCTGTGATCAAACTCCTGATGAAACGTATTGACTGGAACTTCACACACTCGTATATAAGGCAGTTTAGTCCTTTCAGAAACACTAAATCACATTTGAAATTGAAACAAACATCACTGAGGCTGAGCTCAAACATCTCTGTTTTTTTTTCTTCTCAGCCTTGACGGAGGGATTGAGTGAGTGACTGTATGGACCGGACTGAACATGAAGAGCCTCAAAGCCAAGTTTAGAAAAACTGATGTAAGTACTGTAACACATGTTCATGGCCATGTAAAGTGTGTGTACATGCAACAATGTGTGAACACGTGCACGTCTGCGTGGCTGAGTCAGTGTCAGTGTGTATAGCTGTAGTAGCTGCGGAGGATTTTATTTTCTCACCCTTGGGGTCAAGCAGCACCCTGCCGCTTGTTGATGTTTTGCTGTTTAAGAAAAAATAAATAGGTGTGAAAAATAAAATAAATAGATTTGGATCATAATGCTCTTGTAAACAGAAAAAGTATGCCATGCTCAATTTCACATGACAGCGTGTCAGCTCTAATTGAGGGTGTCATGAGAACTTTGGGACCTAAAAACTGGGTCATAAGGTTGAGAAACCATGATTTATGGTGTTGGCAATGTGACACAGACTTTAAAACAGACATGTTATGACCACACATATCTTCAGATACTCTGACTGTGCACCACTTCTGATGAGGAGTTGATCCTGCCGTCTGTGAATCAGTCTTCAGGGAGGAGTTTATTCACGTTGGTTCAGTCATTCATTCGGTCTGTGATACTCTAAACTCACAGGAAGTGAGGCGTCTCCACAGTGTCTGACTCATCTGTTGTCACGGTGACCGTAATGACACAGAGCCAAACGCCAGACAGGAAAAATCTGGAGGGTTGCTGGATGAATGGGATACGTTTTAGGGGATGGAGGGAGTGTCAGAAGTAGAGAAGTTGGCCAATGCAGAGAAGAATGCCAGTTAAATGAGACACTTGGTTTATGTAGTCAGTTTCCATTAGATTAAGAATTTGTGGCAGGGCAGGATGGTGTACTCTGGTTAAATGGTGTGCTCTGGAGAGCGAGGGACTCCTCCCGCAGGGGAGGAATTAGGTGGAGTACATTTCTGCTTTTACTCAATTATAGCCTGAATATACTGTGAGCAATAAGTAGTGCATGGATGTATAGAGAGCAAGACTTCTGCTAGTGGAGAGCAAAATCAAATCACCCACCTATAAATCATCTTGAAGAACATACACATGTGCAGTTAAAACACTTCAAAGGAACACGCAAATCAAAAGAAAATAGGAAAAAAACAACCCATTATTCCTAGTGTCTGATTTAATCTTTAACAGCCAATTTTACATGGGCCCACAACCTAATATTAGTAAATTACTGCAAATTCAGTCAGCTATGTGGGGGAGTACAATAGAGCCCATTGTTCTAAAAAAATGAGTCCAGCTTCGGGGTGCGAGGTCACAATAGTTCCTCCTTGGTGAATAAAATGGATGGTGGCTGTCTCACCTGTACTGGGTGTTTTCCACTCAGAACCTGCATTGTTATGGGAAGAGTTGTACATTGTTTGAGATCGATGGAGTGAAATGCTTGTCCTCAGTCCTCAGAAATAGCCAGTCGTAGGCGGCGTGAGAGAAGAAAGGGAAGAGCAGTGGATGTGAATGTTGCTTGGAAACAACACTGAAGCCATTTGCAGTCACGCATGCCTTTGCAGACCTCACACCCACATACATTGTCGCGCTTTAATGGCTTGGATGTCTGATCATTTCTCCGTTCGTCTTTGTAATAAATCCCATTTTTCATATTTGTGTATCACTGAAACAGTTTGGAAAGGAAAATGACTGTTTTGCTGGACTAGTCACAGTCACACATCTAAATCAGCAGTTTTGATTGATCAATTCTCTTGCACTCAACATGCACACACACATTATATAATGAAATTATTCTAATAAGGCTTGTTTTGCTGTAGAGGATTACATAATTTAATAACTGATCCGACTGCAAATGCATGTTTATTTATGTGTAGTTTGTGTTTCATGCAAAGCCCTGCCCATCGTTCTAGTCAATATTACCCCCTCTGTGTATGTATGTCACCCTATGTGTAATTGATTATGTACTATAATGGGAAAACAGTGTATTGTCTGTTCTGTTGCATTCTGTGAGCATATC